CCTGATCAAAGAATTTCAAGAATGGAGTACAGGAACAGGGAGGGTAGAGTGGTCTTCTAGGAGCTCTTATATGTGTGAAACTCTTTGGGTTATAAATGGGAAGATGAAATTAAAAAAAAAATTAAAAACCAACCTGGCCATCATTTTCCCACTTCTGGGAAATGAAGCATAGCTTTCAAAATCACCAACGATCACACAAACATCTACCTTTGCTCCTTTTCCATTTTCTTTCAAGTTTGCTTCCTGTAACTTTTTACGCCACCTTGTGCGAGCGTCAGTTAAGTGCTCAAGTCTCCATTTGATTGGTGAGGAATTTGAGGCCACAGGGTTAAGCTGCTTTAAGCCTATCCCGAGGGAACAGAAATGCATTCAGATCTGATGAGATGAATGACTATTTTAATGGTCTCTCAAATAACAACATAAAGAGTAACCTGAGTTAATAAACAGTGAATGTGAAAACTTGTAAATAACAGGTTCTGAAAATAGCAGCTCTCAACAGTTATGGTTCTAAGCCCGGGGACTGATGCCTATTTTTGTCTCGGGACTGGAGGGGACGGGAGGGAGCTCGGGTCTCAGCTCTAACCAGGCAGGGAGAAGGGTGAACAGACCACTAGGTACAGCACGGTGGGGGGTCTGATGGAAGCCCTCATAGCTCAGAGAAGGTGCAGAATCGAGCTGAGCCTCGATGATAAAGGATGTAGCTAAGAGATGCAGGCAGAAAGGACGTTTCAGGCAGAAGGACTGAAAGGGCTGAAGGACTGAGAAAACATACCTTTTTTGAAAAAGATTCCTCCCACTGAACCCTTCATTTTCCCCCCCAGGTTAAAGTGAGAAAGACACATCTATTTAAAAAAAAAAAAGAAAAAGTCTGGATTGTTGTTTGTTTGAACACAAAATGCAGCAGTCATGTGGGAAGCAGGAATCCTTGACAAGGTGACGGAAGACAGGGGTCACCTTGCTGCACTGGGGACACAGTGTCTGGTGTGTGAAGACGGGGGAAAGCGGAGTTTAACACCTTGTTGCCTGGGCCAAGGCAAGAGCTGCCCCCTCCCGCCCCCCACCACTCCCCCTCCCAGGTTCCATGCCTCTGCAGTCAGTGGGCAGGGTGCGTCCTTCCTCCTGAGATTCTCCAAAATCTCAACTTATTTCCTAACTTTTCGTTCTTTTCTTAGAGGCGAAGACTTACAAACATCTTTACAGCAAAACACCGCTACATACAGCAAGGCTCTGATTCCTGACTGTTCTACCAAAACAGGACGAGACTGCTTTAAAGACGTGCTTTCCTCAGACACGCTAACAATCACGAACAACCCTCCTAAAGCAGAGGAGGATGGTCTAACGCCTGGGATGAAGGGAGGGGACCGGAAGTCTGGGGAGAGCCTGACTCTAATTCCCAAATGCCATCCTATGGGTGGATGCGCTTGGCTCCTTGAAACCACAGAGCGAATCTACCCTCTGCCTGGGGATGCCTGTGGGTTAATCAGAATGTGTGCAAACACATGTTCACTTCTTGGATTGAAGATCATGTGGATGCCTGGTCTGCAAGAGGGAAGTATCACGACTATTTTCTAGGTTATTTAACTTTCATTGTGAATAAAAGTATATTTTTTTGGCACCCGGATTACAGTTCTACCGCTTACAATTGCCTTTTGGTTCCAATTAGCTTACAAAATTCTCCCTGTGGAACAATGGGCATTCATAAATGACAGTGGAGCAAATAAAACCCCTCACTGTTCGCAAGCTTAATTTTAAGAGGAAAACACATATGAAGCACTCTATTGTATAGAAAGCATATATGACATGGATGATTTTACACTTGCCTGTTTCTCTCTCTCTCTCTCTCTCTCTCTCTCTCTCCCTGCCCCCCCCCTCCCATAATCTATGTATTTTCCCCCTGGGAAAATAACGTTTCTAATCTGAGCAATCTCTTCATGTTCTCCTTCGTTACTAAACCCGTGTGAATGACTTGAAAGCAACAGGTTTAGCCTCAGTCAGTGACATGATCAGAATTGTTCTCCATGTTGTCACTGTTGTCACACTCAGTCCAGAGGATGCCTCACACCTGAACAGGGCAACCACCCTAACTGGCCAGTTTCCTCTCCTCTACTCACTTCACTTGAAGACAGTTTCACAGAACTTTCAAGAAAAGAGAAGAGAACAAAGAAGAAAGAAAACGTTGCCAAATATGTCTCCTCAATGCAAAGACTTAACAGAGACCGTTTTTCCAGCTAATTGGCAACTCATTGTTTGACAGGAGTTACAATAAAACTGCAGACAGCCCACCCGCTTCAATAGCACTGGAAATTACTGTGGCTATAATAATGAGACAGACGAATAGCTATTCAGAGAAAGTTCCTGACAGACAGGGGACGATCTGCATTCTGGACAGAGTATTCAGAAAACGTGTCAGTCTACAATATCCGACTCTCTACACTAACGTGGGAAGTGACTCACTTGAAAAAAAACAGAGGAGCGAGCAGTTTAGTGAGCAAAGCACCCTTTCTCGAACATTTCCAAATAAGCCAAAGCACGCGACCAGGACCGAAGCCATGTTTGACACTCCAATGCCGAGCCGCTGCACCATCCCAAGAACTAATCTAGATCCTTCTCCACCAGTTTAATGCTAGATATGCGGGTGACAAGGTGACTGACAAAAACCCCAACAAAAACTTAGAACAGAACAGATCTCATCATCCGAGAGCTCCGATCATTCCTTAGATCGTTAAGACCGCAAGGTTAGACACCAGTTGTCTTGTTGGGGGTCCTGCCAGTACGACACACAGAGTTGGACACGTAGTAGGCGTGTTATTAGTATGTGGATGGGATGATAGATTGACAGGGAGGAGCTTCCGTGTAAGAGCACTGTGACAGAACTCCTGTGCACGTGACAGCCTGCATTCCATATGCAGTCATGAGCACGTATTTACTTATTCTGCCTTTTACAGGTGATAAAACTGAGGCCCTCGGTGGTTCTGTCACCTCCTGAAGGCTGTCCTGCTAGCTCATGGCAGAGTCGGTGACTAACCCTCAGCAAAGAGAGCTGCACTCTCCTACCTGCCAGCCCCGGAAGACAAGCCGCCACTGGCTCCCCTGGTGGAAGCTCCGTGCAACCTCAAATGAGGACCGACTGGGAAGCAGCCGGGAGAGGTGCTGGAAACCATCTGCTCAGAGCAGGTGTTAAAGCCCAGGCAGGAGTCACTGCCTGTGGGATGCAGACCACGAGGCACCTGTCTGAGCGTGAAACTGGCAAAATGACGCACGTGGGTCCACCGTGAACGTCCCTACGGACTCACGTGACTCCAAAGGGTCCAACCAGCAACGTCTTTCACAGGAGGACAGAGTCTGTCATTCTAGATCATTCCATTGGTCAGGCCACACTCAGGCCCGTTTCCTACAGGTGCCTGCCACGGGTACCGACCATAAAGCTGAGTCTGATTCTGTATCATGACAGCCCGGGAGCACTGCAAGGCCTCAAAGTGCCTTGTGAATCAAAGAAAACAAGTCAGTCAAGTTCAGTATGAAGGCTGAGGCAAGTACACTTTAATTGCATGCTAGTTCTTTGAAAATGTACCCTTTGTTTGGTAATTATCAGAGCCAAAGTGTTGCGTTTATTGTAACACCATGTTTTGTAGACATGCGTAATAAGCTGGTTTATTACCAATGACTGACTAACTGGTGAGCTGGGGCTAATGGCCATAACGACCATGGAATCGTATCAATGGGCTTTGTCATCTAGTCAGTGGCTCACATTAAATGTACCTGGGGTTCCATATGAATTATTCTCGCCTGGGTTCAGCCAGGCCAACTGCAGCCTAACCCGTGGAAGGGGGGTTATGTGTTGACATTTTTGCACAGATCCCCAGCGGGTTCAGCCGGAGATGTGAGCACCGCTGGGCCCCGGGCCTCCTCGAGTAGCAAATGAAGACAGTGGGCCGCGTGGGGCATGTGCTGCCCGGCCACGCAGCTGAGTGGCTGCAGAGGCCCTACCTGAACCCAGCTGTCCTTCCTCTCCCCTGGCTCCTTTCCATCAAGAGCCCAGAAGAGCATCTGTTCGCGCCGATTCCTCCGACTGGCTTAGAGGGACCCGTGGGACAATGCCCACTCCTGCCACCTCTTTGCCGGAAATGCCACATGAACTTTTCACTCATCTCTGAAAATTCAAACACATCGCTAGTGCCAGCAAGCGTGAACGGTCCTTCCAAAGACTGGAGACCCGATGTCAAAGCAGCCGCCGGAGTCGGTAACGGAGTGCGAGCCGTGTCTGAGTGGTGAAGACAGGGCTGACACTCAATACACCCTCGCTGGCCTGGAATAAACGTGCTAATTGTTTTCCTCTGTCCCGACATGAGCTGCCCTGTTCCTATCACATATCCTTCCCCCATCAGGCACACACGCGCTGTCATCGACCAGCTCACATTCCTCCTGAGAGCCTCCAAGCCATCATTCTACCATCGGCCCAGGAAAGCTCCATGCTCCAGTCAGCTGAGAGGAAGGACAGGTAATAATGTTGAAGAAGGAGAGGAGGCCGCACCACGTGGTACAAAGAGGCTGCGGCCTCCAGTCCCGAGTGGAAGAGGATCGGAAGTCATCATTCCCGCCTAACAAGAAGCCGAACAGACTGAAAATCAGCACCCCTCCCGGGATCATAGGAGGGAGGACACGGGACAAACCGGGGCCCCGAGACGGGAGAGGCAGCAGGCGAGGACACGGAGTCACGGCCCACGGAGCAGGGACTGACGGGGGAACCTCCGCAGACCCGGTGCCCTCCCGGGCAGGGAAGCCTGAGGCCGAGCCTTACCTGCAGGAGCATGACCTGTGCGTGCTAACGTTCACTGCCACGTTGGCATCGGCCGATGTGAGGAAGGTTAACCAGAACGAGTTCCCCCCACATCGTGGAAAATTTCTGAAGCTGAAACATGCAGTTTCTAAAGGCGCGAGCTCTGTGCTTGAAGCGGCGACCGGCCGCTCCTTACGTCCCCCCGGCGGCCTTCAGATCGTACCTGCCAGAACAGGCTGTGCGCGTCGCCCCGCAGCAGCTCCACCGTGTCCCCGGCCTGGATGTGGAGCGGGGGCCCTGCCTGGGGCGCGGGGGGTGGCGTCCCGGTGTAGTTCTTGATGACCTGCATCTTTGGCAAACCTGCAAAGAAGAGCACAGCGTTGAAGATGGAGAAGAGAACAGCCCGTGAAGTCCCAGGGTGCTTTCTCACAAAACACGGGGCCATTACCAACACGAGAAAGGTTTCCGGGCCCCGCGTCCGCGTAAACATCTGCAGTCACCACCATGGAGTGCGTGCGTTTCAACCTTCTCACAATTTGAGATACTGATGCAATAAGACACGTACGCATGCCCCCATCCCCTCCACACTGCCCCTCGCCCTCACCATCAGCCTATCTGTGGTTGAGAAAATATTTCTTTCAGCCGATGCCTGCTTCAGGAAAAACACATCAGGTCCCGCCTAATGGGAAAGAACCATTTTTTCACCCCTCGATTCTTCCTGCTATTACCTTCCTCCCCGCACTCCCTGATCTCACCGCAGGCAGCTCCCCGTCTGCATGCAGCGCGGTGCCCCGCGTAAGGCTCGCGTCTTAAGGTGAACTTTGTAATTCAAAAGCAAAGCGGTGATGGATGTGCCGGAGCCAGACTTGAGGCATGTATGTGGAGAAATTCTCCAGGCTCAAATGCAGGCTTGCAAAACAGAGCCAGGACAGGGACGTGTCGAAGCCAATAGGGTCCACAAAGACTAGGAATCCAGCTGCCTCCGGGCCTCTGTGTTTCCTGACTGTGCAATGAAGGTCTCTGTGCAGCAGTTCACTGCTGAGAGCTTCAACCGCACGAGGACCTAACTGCACCAACAATGTCACCGCACAGCCACCTTTCAGTTGGAGGTGAAACCGTTGCCCCCCACACAGGATCATGAGCATGTGGCTGTGGGATCTCCGTGGATTTAAGCCATTGCTAACGACACTCCAAAACTTTTTTTTAATAGATTTTTATTGATTTCAGAGAGGAAGGGAGAGGGAGAGAGAGATAGAAACATCAATGATGTGAGGGAATCATTGATAGGCTGCCTGCTGCATGCCCCACACTGGGGATGGAGCCCGCAACCCCGGCAAGTGCCCTGACCGGGAATCGAACCAATGACCTCTTGGTTCATAGGTTGATGCTCAACCACTGAGCCGTGCCGGCCAGGCAACACTTCAAAACTTTCTATTCTAATGCTGGGCCGTGGTAAAGTGTCACTAGCAGAAAAGGCTGCACCGACTACAGAAAGACTGGCACTGAGTTGCCAATGGCCAAGTTACCTAGAAAAGACCCCATATCCCCAGGAAAAGTCCCAGCAAACATTTAACGACATCTTCAAAACTCCCTCCCAACAACCAGCCCGAAGGGGGAAAGCGGGTTTTCGCCAAGACCTTCTTATCCGCCCATCAGTGAGGACAGAGGGCAGAGCAGGCGCCCTTCAGCCCAGTTCAGCTGCGGAGCTGCTGGGACACGTTCGCATTGCCACACCCGCCCGGGGCCCTCAGGTGCCCCAGGACCGGGGGCGGGGGTGGGGGGGGCACTGAAATCCCACGTCCTTCTTGGCACGCTGCCCCGCCAGATGTTGCGAGGTGGCGCCCCTGACACAAACAGACTCTGTCTTGCCCAAAAACAACAGTCAACAGCTCTTCTCCGTGGAGTGTGATCCGACCTGCAGTGCTGCAAATGCCTAGAGCGAGAGCTTCCTTTACCCTCTGCTAGGCGGCCCCGGTCCCTTAACATCGATCCCAGCTCTTCGCAAGTTATACAGATGCCTAGTCCCCATGGCGTGCGCCAGAAACTGCTATTATATGCCAACTGTAATTGAAAAATTAAAAAAATATATTAAAAATATATAAATTTTATAATAGTGTTCTATTTAAAACCCTTCCTACTGCGCTTAGAATGGAATCTGAATTCCTGGCCACAGCCTCCAAAGCCATCTATTTTCTAGCCCCCGGAACTCTCCATCTCATCTTGCTCCAAGCTCACAGTCGCTCACTGTCCTTCGTCGCTCTGACTTCTCTGGCGTCGCTTAAACGCCCTGAGCTGGGGGGGCGGGGGGGGGGCGCGGCGGCCAAGACAGTCTGTTATGACCCTCAGCTTGTAACTCCTAGAGCTGTTCGCTTCCCCCGGCCTCCTCGCCTTTCCTTTCTATGTATCAGCACTGCATAAATGTGCGTGTTAAACATTTACTGCTTTCATAACCAATGTAGCTTTCGGTAATAAAAGTGCTCAGGTTTTATTGGACAGCCGCCACGTCACCATTAGTTTTGGCTTGCTCTCATCCGGTCTGTATTTATTTGTGCTTCTACCTATAACTACCAATAGGCTCCATGTAACTGAAATTTTGCGGGAAATAAAATTATTTGTAATGTGCACCACTGCTAATATATTTCTCAAAAGCCCTTAAGAATGGCTCTCTTACTAATCCACACTCATCCTGAACAGCCTTTAAATGAGGTGAGCTCATCCTTTAGGGGGCAAGAGCACGCTAATTCCATACACTCCATGGCCGAGTGGGCGAAAAAATACCCCAAGTGCCAGCACGAGAGTAGCTGATGCTTTTGTGGACAGTCTGCTCTATCCCCTCACCGCCTCGCTCTCCACTCTCTCTTTCCTGGACCTCCCCCTCCCGATGCACCTGCAGCAGCTCACCTGCAGCAGCTGAGAGCGGAGAGGGGGACACCAAAGGCTCCCTGTGCGACCGGCTCATTGGTCTGTGAGGGGAAGAGGGGAGTCGCTATGGGGACCCCGTCCGAAGCTTCGGGAGGCCACGCACTCGGCCCATCAGGTTGACGAGCTGGTTTTCTGAGAAGCCAGGGAGGCAGCCCTGGGTCAGAGCCCCAGGACCAAGGCGTCTCCGTAAAAACGCATGTAAACCAAACACCCTCGTCACCGTTCCCTGGAACATTCTCCCAGAATAAACTTCCGACAGGACCCAGGGGATGGCGAAGGGCTGCCTCCTCTTTACAAACGGCGCTGACCCGACTGACGTGGGAGAACTGCCAAGCCGCTGACTGCATACACTTCCCAGCCCCGAGGACCCAGCCTCACAGGGCCCCACGGGCAACGGTGAGGCTGAGTCCCGCCCCAGCTGTTTACTTTGATTCGTTTTCCGCCTTAAGGTTTTTCTGAAATAAAAAGTCAGATAGGACCGGTCAGTTACGATCTTACAGATTTGATGTGGGCAGACCGAGTGTATGAATTTATCCATTTGAACTCAAGCGAGTGAAACATTATTGCTAAACTCCCGCCATGCTTCAGAGGAGGCGGCCAGCTGTGTACCTCCTTTCCATCCCCTCCCCTGCGGACCCACAACCAACAAGCCCACCTGAGATTAACAGCAGCGGAAGACCGTGTCCCGCTCAGGAACAGCCCCTTACACTGTAACTGGGGAGAGGGACCACACGGAGGTGCCATGGTTTTGAGATGATACTGTTCTGGCCACGAAAGCCGGTGGACGCATCGGGGTGGAACAGCGACTCTATCAAAGAAGGCTCTTTGGGTAATTTAGTCAAACATTTCCTTTCCGTGTGAAACAATTCGGCCCAGTTGTTTATTGCCAGCTACAAGCAAAATCTAAATAAATGAAAGGTGCTCTCCCCAGCACCGAGCGGTCACCCAGTGAGAGCAGAATCCTGGTTTGAGTAGGAAAACCAAGGGAGGTTATGGGAAGGCCACGCCTGATTGTTCAGATCCATCAGCGGAATCCGACCCTCTCCCGAGGGAGCTGGGAAGGCCCAGGCCCCGGACCCTCCAGTGGGAATGAGCACTTTGTAAGTAACAACAGACCCTTCAGACTCCGAAAGCAAGTTCAGAGATTTTGTTTCAAATATCTCTACACAGACCCGGGGTTATCACACTGGGAGTGTTTTGAGATGATACTGTTCTGGCCACGAAAGCCGGTGGACGCATCGGGGTGGAACAGCGACTCTATCAAAGAAGGCTCTTTGGGTAATTTAGTCAAACATTTCCTTTCCGTGTGAAACAATTCGGCCCAGTTGTTTATTGCCAGCTACAAGCAAAATCTAAATAAATGAAAGGTGCTCTCCCCAGCACCGAGCGGTCACCCAGTGAGAGCAGAATCCTGGTTTGAGTAGGAAAACCAAGGGAGGTTATGGGAAGGCCACGCCTGATTGTTCAGATCCATCAGCGGAATCCGACCCTCTCCCGAGGGAGCTGGGAAGGCCCAGGCCCCGGACCCTCCAGTGGGAATGAGCACTTTGTAAGTAACAACAGACCCTTCAGACTCCGAAAGCAAGTTCAGAGATTTTGTTTCAAATATCTCTACACAGACCCGGGGTTATCACACTGGGAGTATGTATACCTCCTCCTTCCTATCCATTAAGTGGGAATGCTTAAAAAATAATAATAATAATAATAATAGGGTATTAGCCTATTAAGCTGTTGTCCTCTATAATTTCTCAATTTAAAATATTTGAAATGCATGCAGAATATTGACTTTAGGAATAGTAATCGTTTTTTGCTCTTCAAAAAAATCTCCATCTCTTATCAATTCAAAAAATGTTCCCACTCTTCCTGGTCTTTTTATTTTTCTGTTCTTCCTTAAGGTTAGCCTTAGCTTTATTCTCTCCCCAAACTTTCCACTTCCTCTCTTTCATTCCTACAGAAACTTCTTTCATAACCTTAAATATAAAAATTATGCTATGGTTTCAACATGTTCAAACTTAGCATCAAACGCTATTTAAATGGTTAGACATACTGTTGCTTCTAATTATCTGAAAAATAATAAAATGAAATGGAACCTACATCCCACAGTGTAATAAAAAATATAAAAGTAATGATTATTGAAATGTAAACTGCTGACTAGGAAGAAAAATATAAATGTTAAAATAATAAGAAATTGTGCCGAGAAGTCACAGGACATCCAGAAGGTAGTTACACTGGCAAAACAGGACGATGCGTGGAAAAGGCACCCCGGGCCTGACCTTGGTTCTGCCTCACTTCTCAGAACATGTGACACCACGGGTCACATGCAGTCACGGATCACAAAAACACCTGCGGGCCACGCATCATCAACTAACACGGCACTGAATTCTAAACCCAGAGCGCCGACTTCTCACTAACTCACACACCAGGAACAGCGCTGGCCC